TAATCTAAATAGTAAATATTGTAAATAATCAAGGTTTTAAAGGTCAATATCGATGTCTCAATGTCAAATTGAGAATGTCTATGAAATTATCGAAAAAATGTCGATGTTATGAATATTGCTAAAAAAGTTATAAAACAGAATAAGAACAAGTATTTAAATTAACAAATAAACATTTCAGAATTTTTAAATAAGTTAAAAATTATTAATATTCCTTCGATACAGTAACATTTTGTAATATTGAAATAAATAAAAGAGTCAACTATCACTAAAAGTAGGTTAAAGTTATACAAAAATATATAAAGGTCAAAAATGTCAACAATGGTTTTTAAGAATCCCATTAATTCCTGTCTAGCAAGATAATTTTTGTTATTTGCGTCTGTTTTTATTTTTTATTTGATTATATTTTGTAAAATTTATTTATTTATTTAAATTAATAAACATGTGTCGGTGATAATTAGAACCCATAATCTTTTGATTGGAGATATATGTCTCAATCAATTAGTTAACATATTCGATAAAATTTATTGTTCATGGTATAATCATTAATTTTAGGGAAAATAATAAAAACCATTCATAAATCTAGAGGGTGATTTTAATTTCATTAAACTTTTAATTTGACCAATCAACTCCTAAACTTACAAAGTACCGTAATTAAACTCGGGGATATTTCAAAATGCACTCATCACCCTAAACTTTATGGATTTTGCAATCAAACTCTCAAATCATAGAACTGTTACCATTTAATTTTTTTTTCTTTTTTCCAATTCCATAAGATCTAAAGACTACAACATTAACCGTAAACAAATTTGATTTTCATTGATACTAAGTTGATGTTTCGATTTAAGAAAACAAAAAAAATTGATACTAAAAATTTGGGTTGGATTGTAGTGATCTTATAGTTCAATAGTTTGATTGTAATAATACTTATGATTCCGATGTTGTTTTTACATTTTGCGGTAGTTAAAGATTCAATTGCAGCACTCCGTAAGTTTAGCAGGATAATTGATAAAATTGAAAATTTAAGGATTTGATTGCTACAATTTCTTTAGTTGTTTAGTTGTGGAGTGAGGATTTTACAACGTAAAATCCCCTTAATTTTAGTAAGGTTTTAAATAATCATAAACACTGTAAAATATATTTAAATTAATAAAGAACTATTTTACACATTAAAATGGGTTAAATTGGTTAGGATTAATATTATGTTAACTATCTCGTTTACATTTTCTTATTTTTCTTGATTTTTTTACGATATAATGAAAATGTCGATCATCCTGCATGTTGATATCGAATTTACAAACATATAAAACTGTCGATGAAAATATCAATATGTCGGTAAAAATTTAAAATCCTATTAGCAACTTAGCTGTCACTGTGATCGGTGGATATATAAGAAGCCATCTACTAGTTTGAAGTTTGTTTGACCATTAAAAGGG